AGAATACCCCTATAGTATAGCTCTTGAGGACCTAAGGGTATCCCTATAGTATAGCACTTGAGGACCCAAGTATCCCGACTAGGATAGCCATATGAGGACCCAAGTACCTCTCATAGGATAGCCATATAGGGACTCAAGTACCCCTCCTATGACAGCCATATGAGGACCCGAGTACCCCCGCTATGGTAGCTAGACGAGGACCCAAGAACTGGGCATGGTCGTTTCTTACCCATGGCACCAACACTTTAACTTTAACTTTTTTAGAGTTAAAGTGTTAAGATTTTTACTTTAATTAAAGTTTAAAGTAAAACACATTAAACTTTAATACTTTTTTAAAGTGTTTTTAAAGTTAAATAGCCACCCCTACCCACACCCCACACCTACACTCACACCCACCCACACGCTAATTATCTAGATGCGTCGTATGTAAACAATTTTGACTTTTTGTTAACCGAGAAGTTTCAAACGAACTTACTGTCAATTCTTTCAAAAGAGAAGCAAGAAGTGGTACATTCTCTGTATGCCATCTGCGAGGAGAATGTCTGTAATATAAAGCTATCTGTCTCAAGTAATACTCTCATCATCATGAGAGTAGTTGAGTCCCATTTGTAAGTGTGCTCTTAATGTTGACAGTATATGCAGTTTTTCTTTACTGTGAGTACAAAATTTAAATGGTCTTTCGATGATGGAATACTTTATTGATAAAAAAAAAAGTATCAAAATTATAATAAATTTTCTAAATAGTGACAAAATGATATCGCAATTGAATTCAAGAGTAAACAACATAGAATGTTGCCTTATTCGTCTTTCTTTATCAACTCAAATGGTATGATCACAGTATCAGAAGGGAACAGCTGAAGTATATCTTCAATTAACATAGTCGAATCGATTTGTGTTGTATCACTATCCTTTGCCAATAGTTCATATATGTTCATATGTTCTTGAGGTATACAAAATCTTCGAAATGCTTCTTCGATGACATGTGATGCCAGTGTTTCGCCATCACAAGGTAGGATGATAGTCTGATTGCGATATGTAATCGAACTTTTCAAAACTGTCTTACAGATCAACTGAAGTTGTATATCAGTTGAAGTTGGATCAAGATCTTCCAAACTCATCTCATCATCGTCCAATGAACAATCAGAATAGATTAATTGATGAAAGTTGTCATTAATACTAAATAGTTGGTATGCTATTTGATATAAACGTTTGACAGTGATTGACATTAAACAATGAAATTTTATTGAAAATCCTTCTTCTACATTTAGAATGGTAATAGTAATAGGTAAATTACCATCCATTAGTGTGAATTGAATAGGCGATGTCAATCGGAACGATATCAGTTGAGCATTCATTGTTGGAACGAAATCATCTGAATACAAGAGATGTTGACGTTCAACATCTATTTTACCGTGTCTATAAACGTCAGCAATTGTTGCAAAGATTGTAAATCGTGAATTTAATTCGTTGCCTTCATCAATTTCAATAAGCTGTAATTGTTTTGATTTTTTAATTGAAACAAGACATGTTTGATATTCTTGGACAAGAATGAATTCTGTCTCGTTCAAATTCAAAAGTTGTTTATAACTCTCTATTATTACTTGTGTATTATTCGAAGCCAAATATTCGACAACATCGGATGTTGTTTTTGTCAATTGTAACAATTGTTCAACTGTCATGTTTCTGTCTGATATTGATATTTGCTGTTGCTTTTGTTTTTTTTGTTTTTCATCGTATCTGAATATTTGAATTAAAATCGATATTCGAAAATGAACGAGTTGATTATCAGTAGATAAATAATTGACAACAGGCTGTTGAATATCATCTTGAGATAAGATTCTATCATTGTTTTCTCCCACTGCAAGATCACAATCGTGGAAAGATATATTCACATTTAACTGTTCCAACATAGAATTATTGTTTAATAACTGATAAACCGGTATTGATTTCAATGCACAAATTATTTGACTATTTGTGCCATATGAGAAAATGACTTTCATTGTATCATCTCGACTGATCCCATCGAATATTGACAATCCAGTTTGATCCATCACTGAAGAAATAGTTTGATTTTCACAAACAATAATTTTCTGTTCTCTATTCCAGTAGACATAATCGTTGGCAGAAGAATCAATCATCTGTGAGAAAGTTTTTAGCCAGATATTTATCTGTGACCATTTTGTTGTCGGATGGAACAAGCTCGTTTGTTCTTGACCTGTACAAGAGCAACAGAAGAAAAAGAATTGAATTGTTTCATGAGATATCTAACAAATAGTGCAACAATTTTGCTATACACCGCGAAAATTTCATCGGTTGTAATTTTCATTGAACTATTCATTTTAATGCAAATTATTTTTCAAATTATCGACTGGAATTCATGACTTATGTCCATTATACTATTCATATTTTGTTTTGTCTCAGCTCAAGCAAAAATATTATTATGCTTCTTTTATGAATCTGGAATCGATAAAAATCAAGTTTCGATTCGATATTATTTACTTTCTATGTCAAGATATATTTCAATTGTATGAAATTTGATAGATTTTGAAAACTGTCATTCCAATAATATTTAAGAATAAGACAAAGTGTATCGATTAAGAAGTTATCATTTTCCGATTCTTCAGAAATAGTAAGTTAATATTGAAATACACATTTTTTGTGCTTTCATGTTTTGATCGTGCGTTGGAACTAGCATTAGCATTAACTTGGCATTATTTTTAATTATAATACAGATAATAAATGTAGGTCTTCGAGGGCTATCTGAACTTGCCACCTAGAATGTGGATGTAGGTGTAGATTGACTTTACAATGACACCAAAGCACGCCCGCATCCACAACCACCCACCCACCCTCAAATGAGAAACTAAAACCGAAAACCAAAATTTTGACGGCGGTCGACTATGCATTGAGTTGGTCAGTTTTCGGGTAGACCCTCTCCTAAGTACTAAATACTTTTTTGGTAGTACAAGTACTTGTAGTTTGTACTTGAAAAGTTCGTTAGTACTAAAGCACTGCACTAATTATCCAGTCTTTGCCTGAGAGAGAAAGGTGTCATGTTAACTTGAATCTGTGACAGTTATTCCTTTAGTGATCACGAGTTATTCACATGATTGATCATTCTTTGAACCCACAGGTTAGAGTACCCTTTAACGACTCTGCTCATATTTCACTTTATTATTTCATTTTTTTCTTTTATTTTAACCCTTTGATTACCGGCAAGGCAGATTTGTGTTGTCGGTATGTAGTGTTAATACCATTAAATTGGTGTTCTTACGATCAAATTTGCATAAAGAATAAAAATAAAAGAGCTAGAGATTATAAAATGAACACTAGAAGTGCAAATGTAGCTCGACTTTGAAAATGCATTCATTTTCATACTATTGAAGCTATTGATGTTTCTAAATTTTCTATATAAATCCAATCATGTCAAAAGTAAAGGAAAATAGTTCAAATTAGATATATCTTACTGAAATCTTTAGTTACCTTGTAGCTTAGAACTATGTAATGTAAAATGTTCAAGATTTTATCATCTAATTTCATGATATTCATATAGTTTGTGTTCGTGATATTGCATAGTCCATTAGATAGAACGCATTTTGTACATCATGTTATGTCAACTAGCTATCTCGGAAGAATTGAAAAATGATAGACCTTTAGCCCGTACATGTTCTTCGATTTGTGAGAAATTACTGAGATGATAGTGCCGGAGGCTAACACAGTTTCAGAAGAATGTCAATTTACGTAAAATTATACGAAAAGTTCCCTCACTCTCACCATAAAATACTTCCATTGAGCTTTAGTAGTTGTGACATCTAGACAAGGAACATTAGATGAGTGAAGTGACGTTTTCAGAGAACTTCACCATTGCTGGAATTGTGTAATAGATGGAAGCTACGGATATCAGTCGATAATAGGAAAAATTTTTCTTACCAAAACGATTACGTCAACGAGCACAATAGCTGCTGAAATTTCTATGGTGTGAAGTAAAACTTCTGTATAAATTCCTGAAACAACGCTTCGATATTTACCTTGTTTCGATCGAAGAGTTACTTCACATACGTTAGTAGTGCTACTGTTCTCTTCCGTTACTGTGATATAAATTGTTGTATTACTACTGTTGTCATTATTCGTTCGATATATGTCAGCAATCGTTCCGTTATCAATACATTTTCCGAGTTCGTCAGTAAAACAAAGACAAACATCTGCCGACGTCGATTTGAGATCACCATCATCAATGAAACGATCGATGAGAATCGAAATATTTGCACTTAGTGTAGCCCAATATTCGAATAGTTTTGTTTGAAATTGAAATTGAATACGAACTAACAATGCCTTTTCGACAATACGATATTCTGAAGATATTTGTTTGGGTAGTGAGCTACTGTTGGTCATCAAATCGACGAATATTTCATTTTTGTTGACGATAGCCAATGTATCGAAATTATATTTTTTCTCCTTAACAATTCTCTTTAATTGTTCGTACAAGTTTTCGCTTCTCGTCAAATGAGTAGTAGATTTACCATCGGGATGAATGAAAAGGAGCTTAATTGCTTTCGTGGAATTTGTGGACTCCACTTGTTCTTGTTGCTGTTTATTCAATAGTTGCTGTATCATCACTGCTGATGCCAATGGAACGAACTTAAGACTCAATTCAAAGATAGACACATATTCGATTTTTTGTTCAACAAGAGATTTCTGGTAGATTTGTTGAATCGGTATAGTTGCATTTTCCTGTTGTGGTGTTAAAAGAACATTATCATCGCCAAGTAAGTCATCATAGTTGTTCATATAACCATCTGAATAGCCATAATTCCCATCGAACACATTCCAATCGCTTTGATCATCTGAATTCATCGTTTGATTATTGTCTGGTTTCAAATAATTATGAAAACGATTTCCTTCTTTTGAATGTCCTTCTTGATGCGATTGCAAATCAAAATTTTCATTCCATAATTTCGTTTTTTTTTCTTCAATATTGATTGTTTGTTCTTGTAATGTTGATCGTAATTGAATTAAAATAATACAGAAAGCAACATAGTTTTCACATTTAATACCTTCTGGTATCAAAGAAAGAATCTTATTAATAATTTTCAAATGTTTACATATCACAGTCAATGAATGAGTCGATTGTTGCGATATAGTATCCTGAATTGATTTCAATGCATTCAACAACTGTGTAATTGATTGTATTGTTAAATCTAATTGATCAATTTCATTACTGTAATCGATTTGAATTAATTTTGTATGAAATATTTGTTTAAGCTCATGTTTTAATTCATCATCGATTGGAGTTCGAAGTAGATCAGATACATCGATGAACAAATATTCAAAACCATTGATCGAATTTTCATACAATTTTCGTATATGTTGAATGTAACATAATTGAAAATTTTTAATTTCATACATTTCTAATTGATCACGAAAACTAGTATCTCGATCTGTTGATTCAATAAAATCGTATAGATTCTTGAAAGATACATCTTCTGGATGATGTCTTAGTATTCGTGATATTTGTCTAAGAAGATTATTACCATGATAGAGTTTATCTAATAACATGTCCTTTAAATGATTCCATTCAGTTTCAAGTTGTTGAGTATTTAGTGAAATGGAATAATTTTCACTTAAATCAAATATTTCAGCATCAATCGTTGTCGTAGTAATTTGTGTTTGACGTATATGATATTGATATTTTTGTGCCATATGACGATAATTAATACGACAAAAAAGAAGATACGTTCGAATGATGTACGATTGAACATAGAGAAAATCAAAATTGAATTGTGTATCCGATGTTGGAAAATATTCTTCTTCATTCGTAAGACTTGCTTGACATAATTGTTCGATCCATGAACAATCATTATCGGTCAATGTGATAATACCTGTGTTGTCACTGACGATTTGTATAACGGAGATTTCTTTTAACATAAGCTCGTTAAATAATACCTTCAATGGGATTATATCTCTATTTTTACTACTATTTAATTCTTTCTCAACCAAATCCAATAAACTATTGTGATAATCGACGAGAATACTAAAAAGGTAGCAAATAAAATCTTTTTTAATTCAGATTGTTAACCGTTTGCATCATATTCTCTGATTGTTACTTTAATAGCTATTTTAAGATTGATTTCATCCACAGATAAAAAAAAGGATCTTGAATGAATTCATCAGTTTTATTCGCAGATTTTAGAATGTACTTTGACATCTGTTTACTCATTAATTATTTCTTAGATGTGCTTGAAAAGTCAGACTTTTTTTAAAACAGCTTTCAAGGTATGAATATTAAAAGTCGGTAAGATCTATCAGAACAGTATAAGGTATAGGATTTTTGCTTTCAGTTCCATGTTTCGATGAAAAGCTTTACACACACACGCTCTATCCTACTTTGTCAGAATAGAATAGGATATGATAAGAGTGTGAGAGTAGAGACTACCAAAGTGGTTTTAGTTACAAACACGATTGCAATCGTGACAAAATATATAATAAAGGAGAGTGACTTTAATCGGATATTGTTTCGGGAAAATTGTTCAGTTTTCTTTCAATTGTTCTCACTTACCCTTCACAATTAGCACACACACCTAAATAATAGCCAGTAGAGCTTGAATGAGAGGGAAGAGGTTGACTACTTTTGGTTTCGTAGCATCTAATTCGATTTTAACCTCAATACTGGGATTTTTTTTGTTGTTTCTGGTCACGACACATATCTTACTCAACCTAACAAATCTTTTTCAAAGTACGCTTCGCATTTCCAAATATGATTTTTGCATACAATTGCCACGAAATGCAACTTATAGAATCATAAAAGGATACGAAGCAGGATTGAATAGAACATCATATTGGAGAAAAATGAAATTTGTATAATGAAAAGATACTTTGTTCCAGTGTTACCGGTTTCTGCCAGCAAGTCTCAGGCTTTGGCTCGCGTTATCACAGCTGAAGTTCGATCTTTGAAAAAAGAGAGTTGCCAATCTTACTACTGAATGCAGTAAGCCTTTCCTAATTAATTGCTGAAGAATTCTAGAATACCGGTCGCATTCAAAATCGACGTCGCATCTATGTTCTAATCGGATCAAATCTGATATAATCAGTTTAGTTCAAACCACGAGTAACAGGAGAATGGGTCTCAATCCTATAGACTTTTGATGGCTCTATGACTGGTCGAAAATTCAAGAAAGTTTGCAGTATTTCGGTGTATGGAAGATTTTTCCAGCATTTAAACAGACGATATGCACCTTTCTATTTTTGAGATCATTGCGACTACAAATGCAAGCTTTGGATAAGTATGCCAAGCTAGATAACACACAGACGACATCAGTAGTATATCACAATTCTCTCGATTTTTGTGGTCGAACAAAAACAGTTAGCTACAGATTCTCATTTTTCGATGACAACAAAAAAACAAATGAAACGCGTGTAGCATTTCAGTGCCTGAAAATTTCTCTTATTGTTCGAACGGACATTAAGTGTCTTTTGCATTCTCGAGATCATGATGATAAAAAATACGAAGTTTGCACGCAGACGATGAGAGTAAAGGAAAATCGCATGACGAAATACATCATTTTGACGACTTACATTTCGTTAAAAAAGAATAGTCTTCACCTTTCTATAGAGATAGAACATACCTGAGGATACGCATAATAATATCGCCCTCGTCATGATTTTCTGTTGTAACTAAATAATGCACTGGTGTCTTGGATGTAACCGTTTCAAAAGGTTGTGTTTCATCGCAAGCACCAGGTCGAATGAGACCACTAGTGAAGGAATGATAAGCATTAATGGCGTTCAAACCGTTCTCAATTATTTTGGAATGTTTTTCTTTCTCACTATGATGATAAGAATAATTGTAATGCTTCTGAGCTCGTTGCACTAATTCATGCAAGCTGACTGTTAATAATTCATCTCGTTCGATTAATTGTGTGTATGTCTGATGTAATAGAAGATAGAATTTACCCAAATCATAAATATACTTGGTCATTTTGAGAAAGTCAATGGAATCGAGAACATGTTCAAGAATTTTCAATGGTAAATCTGAATGTAATGGATTGTGTAATTCTGTTTTAAAGTGTTTAAATTGAAGGGTGATAGGCAGTCGATTGATAAAATCTCTAAGATTTGCTTGTATCTGTGATTGTAGATTCAAATGATTGATGTAACTTCTATATGCGGCTAATTTTTGATACACAGGATAGAATATTTGTATTTGATATTCTTTTTCAGCATCCAGCTTATCTTCAAGTGTTGAATAGACAGATTTAATCCATGAATTTTGCTGATTTATTGTCATAAGAGTCATTTGTTCGAAGCAGCGGCTAAGTAGAATACATGCATCGTCTTCGTTCAAGTGAGCCGATAAAAAGTGAAATGTCGATAGTAATCGGGCACTAATGAAATGGCACGTCTTTGCTCGATCACTATTACCTGATGAGCTAGCGTTGATAGCAGCAGTTGATAAGATAGGCCCACACAAATTTTCAATTGATGTATCAAACAATAATAAATGCCAAGCCTAAATTATGAAAGCTTATAGAAACAATGAAAGCGAATGTTGAAAAGTTTACCATGGCACCAAATGTTGAGAATAAAACAGCATAAATTTCTGGAACATTTAGCGCATGTTCATCTGCATTGTTCATGAATCGTATGAGATCACCATCGTGAGTTAGAATACAACCACAATCGTAATGAACACCATACCTTTTGATGGGACTGGACCGCATCGATCCGAAACCTGTTGTAGCAGACAGCATAGGTTATATCGTCACTTTATTTAGGGTTAAGATATAATCTATTGTGCTCAAACGTACTTCAATAGGGTTGGTCTCCAGAGATCATTATTTAGAGAAGGATAATCGTGAAAACGAGACTGATTTTGAGACTTTAATATGAAAGACTATCTCTAGGTACATTTTGCAATATCTAGGATGACTGTGAAGAACGTTCAAAAAAAACTTTGTAACCGAGGTAGTACAATTTTTTCGAATGATCGAAAATTGACTTTTCAAGTAACTTGCTTATTATATAAAAGTCAAACTTAGTTTTTTGGAAAAAAATCAATGAATTCATGCAGAACTTCAATAGAACAATGCATCCCAAAGTGAAAACCGTTCAGGATTCTTAAATATTATTTCTTTCTCTTGCAATATTCCATTTATTAGCATTCAACTGAGAGAAATTTGTTAATATTACCTATCATTGAAGACGGAAATACTCGCCGCTCAGGTAAATCTTAGACTTGATTAACGAAAAATAGCTGGTGCTCTTGCTTTTTAAAAAACGAACTTCACCGTTCGCGACTTTTCACAGAAAATTTTTTAATACTTTCTATTAATTTAGCGATGACAATGTCATAAACACGAAAACATTTATCACGGTCAAAACAACCTGATAAAATTCGATCGTATCATGATAATTTAGACAAAATTCTGTCCGTAGTTGTCGGAAACTCGTAGCTAGGAGTCCTAAAGTCGGATAATATCGATGTTCAAATCATCCTGACATATCCGGATGTCAGATTCGACAAAATCCGACAGCTTTTTTCGATAGGACTCGACAAGAAGTAACATCACGAACTGTCGTCCTGGATATTCAAATTTGGTTAGCAATTGAGTTTTCATCACCCAAGGTAATAAAGCTCTTGCAATTGTTTACAACTGAAACAATATTATTTCATAACTTGAAAATACAGTTAATGATAAACATATGTCTTGTACGTCGATCTGCCAGAGTACCAATGGTAAATAGGAATGAGTTATCCTAGTTAAAACATTCCCAACTTGTAATCTATCTTCGAGTTGGTTCGGAACACTTGAGTCAGAAGTTGTCGAATTTAGATGACTGTCTTGTTTTTTGTCAGTATTGCGGTAAATGTTCAATGATCATAGAAATTGTTCACTAACTACATTTCGTATTGCATTGATGACTTATTCTAATTAAATTATTTCCTGATTGCAATTAATGCATTGGAAGCAAACAAAATATTTTTAGTTAAGATAAACAAAGTTTTTCACTTATTAACTCGTATACCGAAGATGGTTTAAGAAGATTCTATAGATTGAATTTTGCAGATTGATATACCATTCGAAATCGTCTTTATTCTGCACTATGGTTTTTTTCTGGGTAAGAACCATCGTTTCTAAGTACCCCATGGTAAGTCTGTTACTACATCTAGCAGTGTTTCACTTGAATTGCGTGCTTTTTCGGTCAATAAAGATATGGAAAGAAAAGTTCCTCATTTATTTCTGTTGGTTCTAGTATGGTTAGATAGTTCTCAAAGAATACTATTTATTGGTGCAAGTTGATATGCTTTTTCGCTTATTCTCAGCATGAAATAAAGGATACCAATGCTATAGTCGGAAGGAGAAAAATAACTGATACTATTTCTAGGAATTGCTTCTCATTTTTTTATTTATTTGATACAGAGTTGTTCAAAACAAGTTTACTAGACTTGCACCAGTGGGAATAATTGTTTTGAGAATGTTTTTTACAATTATTTCATGAAATTGAAGAATAGTTAGTTTTCTACTAAATTCAATATTTTCTGAATTTTTCAAATTTTTATCTTCCGCATTCTGCAAGAGATCTGCCAATTTAGAATCTCTATATTATAAAAGCCTATTGCCATTGCCTTATAGCTTTTAGACATCATTAACACAATCACAAAGCCTAATTCTTATACCATGGTGTAAGTTTTGAGAAACGTGCTCATTGTACTGATTACATGTTTTATCTCTCTTCTAAGAATAGATGAAAATGATAGCAAAATAAAACAATAGATAGTATTCTTGCTGAGCTATTCAATCATACCAGAACCAGCAGAAATAAATAAAGAAAATAAAAGAAGTAATGAAAACTGTGTTAATTTCTTTTTGCAAACCACTGTACATTTTTAGTACTTAGGGGTACCCAAAAGTAGTGGCGGAGATACCTTATTTTCGTATAGAAGGCTTGAGGAAATCTTTTTTTATGAGGTGATAGATACAACAAAGCTCTATTTTTCTATGCTATTTCATCCCTATTCAACTGATACCATAATAATAAAATTTCGATAGGAACTGTTTTTGTTGAAAACTTAACTAACGGATGAGGCAGATTAAATGAATTATTCCATTTTCGCCGAAATTTTTTTTCGCCGACGTCCACTTTCG